AGGTCCTTTCTTTTGAGTTTGATTCATAGAGTAATTTGCATCTTGGTGTGATATGATTTAGTTGATGCACTCTTTCCATCTAGATTGAATCTAAGTCTCATTATCTTACAATATCAGAGAGAAACTTATACCAAGTGTTGTATTTAAGTTCATGGGCATCTTGGCAATTTGAGAAAATTTCAACAGCTTCCCATGCCATTAGACTAGTTGCATATGTTTCTTTTTTAGATTGATTTCATATGAGTGCTTTCATTTTAAGTATTTGTGTGGATTCATGAGCAATATGCATATGGATGATTTGTGAGTCAAGAGAGATTTCATTGTAAGTAATCCTTGTAATTTTTGGACATATTGTATTTGAGGATTAAGGGCCTTGGAGCCATCTATTCAGCTGTAAATGTATGAACAATGTGTATTATAAGATGTATTGAATAAAATTTTGTTTTCCTATACCTTGGACTCGTCCTCTCTTTGTTGCAAAACAGAGAAACCCTTGAAAATGGGCCTTTTGAACTAGATGAACATAGACCGTCCATTCCATGGGTGGATATAAGCCCTTTCTTAAATCAATATCATTTTCCCTTTTTAAATTGTTTATATGATGATGATATGCAAAGTTTGGGGTAAACAAATTCCTTAACCCCCTGAGGGTCTTGATTTAACACCATTGTTTTTTTTTTGGAGAATGGATAACTTGTATTCACTCTATTTCCTCTCTTAGAGAGAGAGAGAGGGAAAAAAATAGAAGAAACAAAAGAAAAAACTATCATCTTCCAGTTTTTTTTTCCAATTGTTTTTTTCATGGTCTTCTTTTTTGGGATAATGAGCATGTGTGTGCCAAATCTGGGGCAACGAATGCCCCCAAGACCTCAACAATGAGGGAAGGCAGAAAATGTTGAGGTCTGCCCTTGGGCAGACCAAGTGTTTTTCTTAAGCAATGTGTATGTTTTTATTTACTCTATGTGATTTTACTTTATCGGATCCGTTTTGGGAAGAGCTTATATTGTATCTGATTTCATGGGAAGTGGGAACTAGGAGCTTATACTATGTACTAATAGTCTAATATAACTATTGAGGATAAGTATATCACATATAATTGTGTGGGAAGACATGGTAGAAAGACAAATCTGTTTACTGTCATCAGTTGATGAAATATGACACGAGTTTCCACGATATGGGAAGGTTGCTGCAGCAGTGACTCAACCTAATCCTCTTCGCCTCTGTTGGTTCTATGCAGTGGCTGATGTGGTTCTTCCTTGGGTTTCTACAAGTTTCCTTAGTTCTTCCTTGCTTGTATTAATTGCTGGTATATCATCTCACATTTTGCAGGGAAGCTATTCACCAGGATGTATTGGTTCTGGGCGATCAATCTATAACATGTTTCTTCTCAAACACATTGTATTTCCTGTGATTCTTCTCAAGCACATTGTTTTAGCACATGTTACCCAAACATTCATTAGTCTGCTCCCTTTTGAAACATGTCTTTGCCAGAAATATGGTGCTTATCTGATCATTTAGCATGGAAATCCGATTTGAATGGCTTTAGAGTAGAACATTTATTTGACATGTTGACGTTTAGCCGTCTTGCTTTTGCATCATTATCCTGAAGAGAACTTGGAAAGGATGGGTTATAGCACGAGCAAAATTTTAGCTTAGGACATTTCAGTACTAGGTATTTGTCTCTTTTTGCTGGTTATTCAGAGCAAGCAACTTACTTTAAACATTTGAGTTACCTATCTAGGTTAGCATCCTTCTAGCAATATTGTGGTTTTGTGTTTTGTAGAGATTGCATTTGCTTTCTCTAGAGATCACATTTTTCTCAACTCTGCATGATCAGTTTCTCATTCCCTTGGGAATGCATCGCGCACAGACATTATTATATTTGCCTGCAGCCAGAATGATGGGTTCTCATACAGACAATATGGTTTCTTTCATCAGATTATATGGCAACATTGCGTTTTGAACTAGGTCTCTTTTATCTAACAATTCCCGAAATATGTTCAACAGGAGTGATGATATGCAGGCCATACAATACACAGGCACGCATCCTCCATCCATACCTAAGACAGTGGTTCATCTCTGCTGTTCATCTTGGAGTGAATGATGGATACACTCCCCTTGTAATTTAGAGCATCCCCTCATTGTATGTGTTATATGCGTTTCTCATGTTATCTGAGAACATGTAATACAGCAAAAAAATACAAGGGGTGAACATTCCTGTAACATAAGGAGAGCAACACAATAATTTTTAATTTTTTTTTTCTCCTGTTTTTGGGAATCACTTTCCTTTTAACTCTCGAGTCTCGATACAAGTTTCCCATTGCTTTGTGGCCGGGTGTATTGAGAAACAAGCAACTAGAAGTACAAGACATTCACCAGATCACGGGCCTCATGTTTGAAGGGAAATCCCCTTTAAGACAGGATATTGGTGAGGCAGCGCTATGCGACGAAGTCTACCTTTGAATATGAAAATAAGAAGTGAATATTGCTATTTGTTGGAGAGGAAATTTAAAATGCCAATGCTTTGTTTTGACCAGTAATCAGATAGATAAAAACCTAATCTAAAATGACTAACATAAGATCGCTCAACATGATTTGTTCAATGGTTCATCAAGATGAGCCTGCTTTCAGTAGAAGAGGATGAAGAAATTTCAAATGCTATGATTACATAGCTTGCCCAAATCAATTCGGCTTTTAAAGTGGTGAATCCCAGTCTAAGCGTGGCAAAGGGGTAGGCCTGGGTCAGGGCAGCTTTGGCCATACTGGCCTGGACCTGAGTTGGGCTGGGCTAAAAACAAATAAAAAAAAATTAATAAAAAAAACCAAGTGAAAAAGAAAGCCGGGCTGGCCAATAACCAGCCCGTCGCACAAGAAAGAAAAAAAAGAAAGGCATGGTTAGTTTAAGAATTAGTTGTACTCTAGAAGCACCAAAGCGTACAGTAATTCCATAAAGAAAACGTAGGAGAAAAGTCATTGCCCTAGACAAAAGGAACATGCCTATTTGAAGATTAGGTTAATAACAAAACATTGTTTATAAGATTTTAATAACTTGTACAAGTGGAGCATTGGACACATGGATGGATTGTTTATTAGAGTAGAAAGTGGTATTTTTTTGAATGTTGAATGGTGGTCCTGTGGTCATTGTCGTGTAAGAAGGGAGGAAAGTAAGAGTAGGGGCCAAACCTCGTGCAACTGCCCCGAAAACGGCCGAAATGGCCAGCCGTTATAATTAATATATTTTATCTACATTATATAAACATAAAAGGGAAAAATGTTATATAAGGTTGCAACCTTAAAATTAAAGGTGCATTTCAAAAATTCTTCATAAAACGTTGCTTGGATATTGAAAAACCGTTTAATTGATCATCTCAAATAGAGGTGTATGAATATAAAAGGACAAAAAAGATTTGGAGTTTGCAAAATAGTGTATCTTTGAACATATTATCTGGATTGTCTATTTTCAAAATTTTCATATGTTTATAGACCTATTTGATTTGAACTATTTTTAGAGTTTAAAATTTTATAATTAGAGATGAAAATAGATTCTTAAGTCACCTTAAGAATTTTTTATGTCAAAATTACAGTTACGATAAAATTTAGAGGTGCACTTTAATGGGTTGTTTAAGGTTGCAACCTTTTGCAAACCACACCCAAGCATAATATATATATATATATATACAAACCACACCCAAGCATAATATATTTATATATATGTATTTATTTATTGGCAAGAAATCCATGTATGGTATCAAAATCATAAAAGCCAAAAAGTACATCTTAAAAACCCATCCAAGATATTGAAAAATCCTCTAGTTCGTAATCTTGACTTCCAGATATATGAACATTGAAGAAAAAAATATTAGTTTTAAAGCAGTACATCTTGTAACTTATTGTGGGGACCCTTAATTTTCAAGATTTTTGAAAGTTGATATATTTATTCAATCTATGCTATTTATAAAGCTTTTAACTTTATAATTACAAGTGGAAATAGATTTTCAGGCCATCATAAAGTTTGCCGCACCAAAATTTTATTTTCTAGTAAGATTTAGAAGGGCCCCTTCGATTATTTGAGGTGGATGCCTCGTATAAGCCACACCCATTATATCGTAGTGAGATTTGGGTCTATTTGGATGTACTCGTTATCATTGATAATTAAAGTTGTGTGCGATCAACTTATACGCAATTTTACCCACGGACTTTTTGAAAATAAATTTTACTTCATTCATAATAATTTGTAAAAGGTCACGTGTTTATCACCAAAGACCTTTAAGATATTCTGATGTCGTGAGGACATGAAATACAAGTCTTCATCCATCGAATGGCGTATGAAGTTAACTTGCCCAAAAAAGGAATGCAGTATGGAGATACGGGCAAAGTGGGAATACATGCATGTCCGACCATCGTAGGCCCTACCCGTGTCACCTCTAATCATTTTTTTTGAGAAAATATATCAAATTATTTATAAAAAAGATAATAAATTTCACGTTTTATCTATATTTTTTAATCTAATTTTAAAATTCCTGTAAAAAAAAAAAAAAAATGTAATTTTAAATTACAAGTGTTCAAATGAAAATGATATGGATAGACTAACTAACATGTTTTTTTTTGGAGCAGGAAGGCCTCTACTTATTTTTCATTAATAAGTAAAAAATAAAAAGTTCATCAATCAATTATTTTACAAATTTAGAGCTGGGCACCAGTATCAAATCATGAATTAAAAGAAAAAAAATAAAATCTGATGGACGAAAATACTACCAAATGGCAGCTTTTAGATGTGATATAATTTCTTTGGAAGAATATTAACTACCATATTAACCTCACAAAAATATTAACTATCATATTAACCTCACAAAACTAGAGAGAGAAATAAAAAAAATATAGGAGATAAACTATCTACAATTAGATACGTAAACAATTTATTGCAATCGTATATAACCTTCGTAGAAGTGAGAAGCGTTTATAAATAATATTAACAAAAAAATACTGGGTCACTTCTCATAAATTAAAAAAAAAAAAACAAATCGAAAGTCACTTTCGAATAGGGTAGCACTCTTGCCATCTTGTGCGTCCGTTTGGAAAAGGAACAATAAAGTTGGATGGTGCACATGTGTTGAGGGCGAAATGGCCGAAACCATAAATTGTAAGCAGTTTCCTCGACGAGAGCAAGACGACGAAGGGACCCCCACCCCAACCTTTTATTCGTATGGAAGTCGGCGGAGAGAGAGAGAGAGAGAGAAAGGTATTAAAAGGCGGCTCCTGCCACCAGCTCCCCCAGTCAATGTTCTCCGTTCGTTCTGCCCTCCTTCCAAATGACAATAACATCTCATCCTTTTATGAAATGACACCTCTAGCAAACACACGGTTAACCTTTTTTTCTTCTTCCAAGAGGAAGGCCTTGTCATTTCGGTAAATGAGGTGGGTATTTCAGTAAGTTTGACACAAATGGGAACGCTATAAACTAGCGACTTCATTGGAAAGAGATTCACGAGAGAGAGAGACAGAGATTGGATTTGTGTAGAAGCAGGCAAGGCAGATAGAGGAGGAAAGGCAGAGAGGGAGGAAAGGCAGAGAGCGAGAGAGAGAGAGGGGGAGGAAAGGCAGAGAGAAAGAGAGAGAGATCAGATTTGTGTAGAAGCAGCAGGAAAGGCGAGGGAGAGAGAGAGAGAGAGAGTGAGATGGAAGTTGTTGCAGTTCGATCTCCGCCTCGAGGCATTGCGGGTGAGTTCCAGTTTGAGAGCGGGTGCTCGACGCCATACGCGAGCGCCCCATCGAGCCCAGGGCGCATGGGCAGCTTCTTCTACTTCAGCGCACCCACCAGCCCTTCCTCTGCTACTTCAATTTTCTCTGAATTTCATGGCGATACACCCTCCGCCACCGCCAATGTCCCCTTCGTTTGGGAGCAAAAGCCTGGAATCCCCAAAAACGAAGACAAACTTGACGACGAATCGTTGCAACAGATGGACAACGCTTTCGAGTTTGATTTCAGCGGTCGCTTCCCTAATGATCCAGCTGCTTCTCTGCCACTTTCTCAAAAGGAACCTCCCTCTGAGACCATGTCCACTGCTGATGAGCTGTTTCATGAGGGCAAAATCAGGCCGCTGAAGCCGCCTCCTCGCCTTGATGAGTTCAGCTTCAACACCGCCTCTTCCTCTCCGCACTCTCCTCGGTCGCCTAGGTCCCCGATCGCTCATGGCCGCAAACTTATCAGAGAAGCACTTTCTGGGTTCAATTCCAGATCCAAGGATTTCGACCCATTTGCCGCTGCTCTCGAACGAGCCACCAAGGGAGAGGAGAGAGGAAGGAGTGCCAGAAATTCGTCAAGGAGGACGAGGTCTCTCTCGCCGCTCCGAATTTTCAATTGGGAAGAGCCTCATGTTTCCTCCTCCAAGCCAGCAACACCAAAGCCAGGAACAGCAACTCCTTCTCCTAAAACCACCACCACTGCTTCTTCTTCTTTTTCCTGGATGGGGTCCAAGAAGTGGAAGTTGAAGGATTTCCTTCTGTTTAGGAGTGCATCAGAGGGGAGGGCGCAGGAGAAGGACCCCTTGAGGAAGTACAGAGTTTTGGAGAAGAAAGTTGTTGAAGACCCAATCAACTCTAGTTTCAGGTCCACGGACAGCGGAGGCGGTAGCTCTCGCAGGGGCGGCGGCGGGGTTTCGCCTCATGCGCTTCACTATAACGCCAGCAGAGCTTTTTCAGAAGAATTGAGAAAGAAGACATTCCTGCCATACAGGCAGGGCCTTTTTGGTTGTTTGGGCTACAGTCCCACTATCCATGGCCTAGCCCGAGGCTTCAGATGATCCCCTGGATCCATCTCTCCTCTCTCTCCCCATTTCATATTCCTATTCATTTTTGGCACATTCTTATTTGTTTCTGTATCTGTATTGTTGTCTTGGAAACGAAACCCTGATGCAAAATTATTCGTTGCATTTGTAAGTAAAGTTGTAACAAAAGTTGCTTCTCCCCCAGTTAGTAAGAAGAGGAGTGTTTGATGTTTATTTTTCTCCCAATAAATGTTTGACGAGGGGAATGGAAATGGACTAAATTAAAGATTAGGAAATTTTTTTAGCTGTAAAAAATTGTAGTGAAAATTGATCATTCCACTACTTCTCACTGTGTCTTGATCAAATTTATATCCAACCTGATTGATGGAGTTTTTTCGTAAGATCATAACGGATGGAGGACATCCGGTTTAGCAGGCAACAGACTCAGGAGCAGTCAAGTGTTGCTTTAAATGATGTCCCATCTTTATTGGCTTTTCCATTTTGAATTCGAAAAAGGTCGGGAGTGAAATGCGGATGGAATGGCGGTAAAATTAAATCATTACGATTTGTAGACAGGGAGGACCACCGTCATGATGACTCCTGACAATTATTGGAAGGGATGGTGTTTTAAAATCTGGTGATTTTTAATCTCGATCATCCATCTGGATGAGCAATCAACAACCCGTTTCTCTCCCAAATTTCCCCCCCCCCCACCTATTTTTTTATATTTTTTTTCTTTTCCTAACTTTACTTGGTGTTTTCTTGGGTCGTCCATAAATTCCCACATCATAAACCCCTATATTACATTTTCTTTTTTTTTTTAATTATCTTTTAGCATTTTTTGGGCTATGACTCCCAACAATCTAACGTGGATTTAAGGGGTGATGATCCAACAATGTAACATGGATCTAAGGGGTGAACGATCCACTCCATTTATTTGGGTTTTAAAACATTGAGAAGGAACTGCCACTCAGGGGAGGAAAGTTTTGGTCAAATAAGTTGTACAACATAATTTATAGTTTAATTATACATTGAGATCATTTATAGTTTAATTATACAAGGTGGTCACAATTATTCTTGACCACTAGATATAAAATTGAATACCTGTATTTATTTCATTGACCAAGAGAAATTTCCAAAAGATAGTTTCTCGAACTTTGTGGCATACCCAAGCTATTAGATTTCATATAAGATGATTGCAAGTAATTGTGATTTCTTTGTATGAAAGGTACATGGTCTATAGCATACAATCCCTTATATTAATACTTCCAATTTAAGCCAAACATGCTAGAATTCATTTTCGGTTGGTCCTAACACTACATTCCTCTTATGAGGGGCATCATTTTCAATCTAGAGGGTATTTCGAGATGATTTCAACATAAAACTTTAAGTAAACATGTAGATATTTCAAATGGAAGTGGTTTGAAAGAAATTGGATTCTATTTGATTATTCAAAAGCTCAAAACAACATAAGCAACCGTTTTGAAATTTACTAAAACCTGCTAACTGTGACGTGTTTTCACAATTTGAATCATAGCTCCCCAATTATACAAAATTTTGACTGGATTTAAACATCAAAATCATAGTAGACACATACATATTTCCAATTTGGTATCATTTGGATGTCATTTTATAGGTCAACAGAGTGCTACAAAACATGAAACTTCACTGGAATTTCACAGTGTAAACATGGCATGTCTCAAATAACAATCAATTACGCCCAAATTAGGTTAGACATTAATATGAAACTTTTTACATCTTATACTAGATGCATATGAGCACCAATTCACAACTTTTCATGATCAACAATAGTAATTTCAGTACTCATTTTATTATAGAATTGGTGGCCTAATTTCCTGAAAAGCAGAGCATATGTACACCCTTTTCTTTTCACAATTCATAGAAATACATGCTTAAATCTCATGCTTTCATGCTTAAGAATCATGCTTTCATAACGAACGGCCTTCAAGGTGTAACGGTACTTTCATAATCCCTCAAATAGTCCACCTCCGCTTCACTCTAAGTCTCCCACAAGGCTCAAAGGGGGTGGAGTTTGGTATTTCAAGAGGGAAGAGTCGGTTCAAAATGTGAGGCAAAAGGGAGAGAAGCGGCTTTTAAACTCTCTCTTATGGGAGGTGGCATCTTGGGCTTGCCAAGTGGCAGCCTTAGTGTCATGCAGCTTGACAAGTGGTAGGGTGGAAACCATGGGCCATGCACAGGGTCAGCTGTGTTGTGCACTCTGCCGTGCAGTTCTCTTTCTTCTTCTCTCTGATTTTACCAACGCATGCATTCCTCCACATGTGTCTCTCTTCTTACCACCGCGTGCACTCCACCGTGCGTGCGTATCTCTCTTCTTACTGCCACCACACTTCTAGTGTATCTCTCTCTTCTTATCGCCGCGCCACTCCGTCGCTCGCACATCTCTCTTCTCCTCTCTTCTTACCGCCGCACGTACTCCGCCACATGCATCTCTCTCTTCTTTTCTCTTTTTACTGCTGCGCGCGCTCCACGGCCGCACGCTCCACAGCCGCTTGCTCTTCTCTCCTTCGTCCCTCCTTATCTTGCTGTGCACTCTATCTGGCAGGAAAATTCTAGGTCGTTACACCTTCTCTCTCTCTCTCTCTCCCTATGCACCAAAAAAAAAAGGGGGCACGCCCCACTCATGGCCTCTTGGATCTCTCTCTCCCATCTTGTGGTATTATGAGTAAGGGTTGGGGTGCAGTTAAGGAGATGTCATCTCTTTCAATTACGTTATCAAGGGGTTCACTTATGTTTGAGATTGGTGATTGAAAAGGGGTTCATATTCCATTGCTTTGCTTGGTTTAAATTTGCTTTTCAGATTGATATTGAAGGTTGACCATTGATCTCAAGCCATCGGAAGGTGGTGACTCAGTGTGGGGTGTAAGAAGTCCGGTTGAGGTAATCTCCAGTATTTTATTTTGTTTATTGGATATTTATTTATTATGTGTCTTATTCCCTAGTATATGTTGTGTCTTTCTTTGTTATTGAAAGAAAGGTTTTGAATGGCTTCAAGTTCTTGAGATCCTAGTTGTATTCTTATTTATTTATTTTTTTGAAGTTATTTTATTATAAAAGGACTACTTGTAAGTGATCTAAGATGAGAAGAAAAAGAAAAAGAATTGAAAAAGAAAAAAAAAAAGAATAAATACTCCGGCTAGATCACACGAGTCCTTCTTTCATTGATATCAGAGCAAGCTTATGCCCTATTTCTTTTATTTCACCATGTTTTGTGAGTTGGGAATAAGATATAAAAAAACTTAATGACTTTTGTGGTCAAGTGATATACCTCGAGAAGAATTATTAGAATATTCAAACACCGAAAAGACACTCTACATAATGACTATTCTATGTTATTTTGGAGCAGTAATATGAAGAAGATAATAATATATTTTTTTCTTTCATACTTCAATGAATTATGTGTTTTTGAGATTATGATTTACTTGAAAAATTTCAATGGGAGATCTTGGGGGAATTGAGAGTTATGGATTCATCAATGAATGGTGTTAGTTCTGAACCTACAAAATCCATGAACTGTCTATTAAGTTTTGTGAAACTTTCCACCGATCATATGATTTTATTTTTAGCTAAAATTTGACTGTAACTCATTAAATTGAGTCTATTTTAAAGAACAAAAAAATAGTTTCACCAAGAAATTCCTTGTGGTTTGAAAGATATGGTCAATTTATTGAAAGGTGCACAAATGCTATTTTCTACAACGAAAATTGTTTCAATGACTTGGAAGTCATGATTTTATTTTCATTTTTAACAAAATGTTTTATGGCCTACACTAAGTTTTTAGACTTCCATTCAGAGTTTAAAAATATTCATGGAAAGTAAGGAACAAAAATTTTGGATTGAAGAAAGGTCATCCTGAATTTTCTGTAGTTTGGTGTGTATTCATTGAGATGTGAATAACTATATTTATCAAGGACAAGGTTTTAAAAATTGATGATCAAATCTGGAATCGGGCGATTTAGATTGAGAATTGGCCAAACCGTCCCAAATTTATGTATAAAACAGGATCCAGACGAATTGATACAGTAAAAAAAAATGAAAAAATGGTTTGATAGGGCTGCAGCCCTATAGTAAAGCCTCCCCTCATAACACAAAAAATTGTAATTCAAACATTAAAAGACCTTTAAATCAATAATCTCACTACATTTGACGATGAGGGACAATCTCCCATTTTAACTTGTTACCTTATATGGGCATGTGAGGGAGAGCGTAATCCTAAGGTCAAGAGTTCAAACCTCTCTAATCCGAACGTCATTTATTTACCCAAAAAAAAAAAAATTGAGCATGCACAAACTAATTAAATGACATGTAATTAAAAACTTAGAGTGCATGCAAATTAATTAAATGACATGCAATTAAATTTCTTAATTAGATGACCCACAATTAAATTTGTTAGCATATGGTACGCTAATTAAATTTATCAGCATATGGTACACTAATTAAATTCGTTACCATATAGCACACAAATTAATTAAATGACTAATATAGAAATTATATGTCAGGTTTTGTTACCATATTATTATTATTTTTGACGATCTGGGTCACCTATTTGTTTTTTAAAATATGAGATATTTTAAGAGAGAAAAATAACACTAGCTTATACCACGTTAGAATCTATTTTTCAGGTTGCTTTATCAATTATCCCATATTTGAATTTATTTATTTATTTTTCTAATTTTATTAAAATATGATTGCAAATTTATGTTTCTAAATTCTATATTTCTGTCCAGACTAATTAGTATACATTAAATTTATTTATTTGTGAGGGTCATACCCTTGTGTTTTGAATGACTTTTATTATAATATTGTAATTAATAATTATACTAATTACAATGATAACCAAATCTTATATTTTATTTGTTAATTTATTTACATTATATATACAATGTATTATTTTTTGTTATAGATGTAAATTATATTTTTAAATTAGATGATATTATAAGATAAATTTCAAATTTATTCTTATTTATATTGTAAAATTATTATAAAATATTAATTAATAATTCTAATTTCAATGTGTAATATTATAGTTAGTTAAGTTGTGATAATTTTGAACAAGTAAAGAGAATTACTAAATATTTGATGTGATACTAATTTCACTTTATATAGAAAATTATTTTCTTTAATCCTATAATATGAAAGAGTTTTCTAATATTTTTAAATTATTTTGATGTAATTTTATAAAACTATATCATAATTAATAATTATACATATATATAAACATGCAAACAACATCTCAGTATTTACCTATTTTTACAAAATAATGAAAGTACATAATGTGTCACTCCTAAATTCTTTTAGAAACTAAAAGAACACTATTTTTAGAGATTTATAGTGGTTTTTTAAAGATTTTTTGGGACAAAATTTGTCGATTCCGCCAATTTTCTTAAAATAGGGGCATGGGCGTGACCTATTCAAGTCACCGATTTGGGTATTTAAACCTTGATCAAGCCTACTTAATAGAGTGATATGAAACGTGTAAAAATATATTTGTTGCCATTTTGTGTCTACTTTCAAACAAAATAGGTTTGAAAAGTAAACTCCTTGTGGGTGGAGAGAAAAGACAATTTTACTTGATAGTGTTCATCCTGGAATTCTGCAGTATGATTTATTTTGTGACATGAATGTCAATTATTTATTTCTCTGAAGAAAAGTATTATCTGAAATTCACACCATGGTATTATATTTTGGTTTTGAGTTTAGTGTTCAAAAGAAAATTTTTGAAGGAGCAATCCTTTGTGAATTGAGAGAAACGATTATTTTATTGAGAGTTGCACAACCTGATTTTCTGTTGAGAAAAGTGAATTATGACATGAATGTCATTAAATTGATTACTCACTAAATGGTGTAATTTAGGAATGGAATTTAGAAATATTTTGTATTTTTGAGTCTATTTCAACACTCAAAAGGATTCAGAGATAAACTCTTTATGAGTTGAGAGATATCATATTTTTATCATGGGATGCTCATGTTATATTTTGCAGTAAATTGTAAGATGTGACTGGTTGGGGCCTGATTTTTTCCTCACGTGGATGGTGGGAAAAAAATCCTCTCTTAAACAACCATGGAGGGTCCGCGCGCGCTGCACATTTGCGAGTGTGCGCACACGTGCTCTCCTATGTGCAGATAGGAACCAACAAAGAGAGATATTTTACGACAGGGGTGCGTTTAGGCGCCTACCTCATCGTTTGGGGTTTGGAGACATACCCGGGCAGTTCGCCCTCTTAGAATAGTTGCGGTTTGGACACGAACTTTCCTTAGGCTTTAACACATCACTTCGTTCTCTTATGCTGAAAATTGCGATGAAGATTCTTTGGTGCTCATCTATAAAGGTTCACTCAAATGAGGGGATGGCTGGCAAGAGATAGAACAAGAGGAGAAATAGTGACAAGAATCCCCCTATCCACGTAAACGCTATGAGCTCAAGATTTTAGAGTTGCTAAAGAGTTAGAGCCCTCTTGACTGTCGACTTAAGAAGACTCCACCCAAGTGAGTGAGGGAGAGAACATATGTGTTCCTCACGACTCAACTCCACTGTAAGCGATGGTTTGTGCTGGCTCTAAAAGGTATTGAGTCGAGCATATGTTGTATAGTGGATGCTGTGCAGAGCCGCAGGTTTGCTACGTTGACGCTCGAATCACAAAAGGGGAAGGTCGCAGAGAGAGACGGGACTGCGGGTTCCGCGACTCTGAATGCTTCAGCACGACGAGAAAGAGAGAAAGAAAGGGAAAGGGACGGGATCATGTGTTTGTCGTGGGTCTAAATTGCTACGCAGAGCAAGCAAAGAATGGAGAGAGAGAATGGGAAAAAGAGGAGAGAGAGGGCGCTTGAGGTGTGGCCTAACTTAAGAGAAGGAGAGAGAGATAATCATACCGCGTGCTCAGGATGGGTCAGGGGTATTTTCTCTCTCCTTACCTTTGGATCTAAGGGTTAGAAGTAAAAGACAAGTGGACACAAGCTTAATGCTTCGATTTTGTTAATGAATGATCCAACCCTTTTACAATTGACCTGAACTTATTTATATAGAGAACCCACCAAATAGGGGTGGATGCTCAAAACTAAGCCCAATTATAATTAAAATAAATTACAATAAAATCCTGAATTTAAGAACAATGACCAAAATGCCCCTTAAACCTTTTGTGCTAATGATGAAACCATCCATCTCTGAGGGACCTTTCAACATTGTCAGATCTTGGAAGGTTTTTTGGATGTTTGTGATGGTGGTTCAGATGATCCATCATCGTAGTCTTGATGCTTGCTTGATTTTGAAAAGTTTGTTGTCTTTTGATAGTCTTGGGATGGACTTTTCCCGAGTGGTAAAAATCCAGCTAGATCATGAACTTTGGCCATCAAATCAATGCAATGCATGATGCTTTTAGTCTTTATTTTTATTACAAATTAAAAGGGAGACCGCCACAGTCATTTTGCACAAAGTTTTGTCCATTTTGGTTCTTGCTTGAAGTATTTCTGAATTTGAGAGATCGTCAAAAAAAGCTATTCCGGTGATCAGGCGATCTTGCTTTCTTCAACCTTGGAATTTT